TTACCTGCATCACTGAAAACGGGTTGAATAATCAGATGGTTTCATCTCTCGGATTGAACCCTGGACATTCAGGTTACCAAGAAAAAGTCTTAACTCACTGAATTTTAGAGGACTGCAAGCAAGTCGCGAATCGTGATAGTGGACACCTAGCATAAAAGAAGTTATTCGTTGTTAATAAAAGCAAGATGTAAGAAATGAAATCCCAGAGTATTGTGATTAAACTTTAATCTTCCAGTTCAAATACCATCAACTCCATAAAATTAAGATATTGTTTCGATCTTGGACTGATGAATATAAATCTTGAAGAGAAACTGACTCCTGGTTGGTTACACGATGTTATTTTGTAGACTGACAGACCAATTGATTCAGCATCTTTGTAACATACTGAGCTTCCATTAAATGTTTCGAAATCGCAATGTCCATTATTACTCAACTTTAACTCGAATCCCGCCAGTCTATTGAGCAGGGCTAAAAAAATGAATATTAGTTAGAACCTACACATCTCGATTGTCACCCGCCAAGATGAAAATTCAACTTAATAAACAATATGGATAACAAGTGGTTTCCAAGCAAGTTACGTCCATTTTCCTCATACATTTTCAGTATATCAAGGGCGTTCACCTATCTGTGTCAAGATATTGTTGATTTAAACAAACACACATTATTAAATAAATTCTGACATAAACTGTCACCTCTATTGCGTTAACAAGCCAACAAATTTTGATGCCTTTCTACCAAGTCAAGGGCAATAACTCAAATTCTGTTAATCGAAAAATCGTCAAATTCAATCTTGACTAAGATCTCATCATTATAAATGATTATACCAAATGTCATTTAAATCGGATGAAAACTGTAGTAGATGTTGTGTTCACAAACAAATTTTGACACGTTTTTCATAATTTAAGGGCAATAACTCAAAAACCGTTTAACGAAAGATAGTCATATTCGAACTTGTCCAACTTGTCTCTACTGCGTTTACAAGTCCATTCTGGACGGACAGCGGCGACGACAATATACAACCACATTATAATGTGGGCGTATAAAAATGCTGTAAAAATTAATTTAGCCACCGGAGGAAACACAAGAAAATTTGACATTTTTTAAAATTAGACGAGCAATAACGTATTGTAGAATGTTCCAAATATATGTTCAAGTAGTAGGCCTGGCTTAATTTTTAGTGTTGCCCACAGTCAACTTAAGGCACACCCCGCCTTTTTGTAGGTCGAAATTTGTTTTCTAAAATTTTTGAAAACTATACACCAAAATCTTAAGAAATGTGCCCTTTAACTTATCTGAAAGTATTATCTATAAAATCCATCCGTAAATATTAAAACGACAAAAATATTTAAAAACATTACGCAAAGTTTTCGTTTGCTGTTTGCAATCTGTTAGAAAACTACTGTACTGTAGAGAAATATGTGCCTTACATATTCTTAAGATTTCAACTAATAATACCGAGCCATTATAAATCGAAACACCAAAACTAGGTCAGTCTGGTTAATCAACTATCTTCGTTTTTAAATAACCTTTTTAAACAAATTCAGTTTGATAAAGAAGATAGCATACTTTAGAAATATTTAATTTACGACGTTTTTGATAATAAAACCTTTTTACAAAAAAGTAGAATACCCCTTTAAAAGTAAGGACTTTAAGAGTTATAATTTGAAGCTCTTAATGTGATATTTATACATATAATATCTATACAATATGTTCAACTTAAACTAGGCTGGGGTGTAAGAAAACACAATACCAGTGCGTTAACACAAAAATAATTTGTTTTCATAAATATTGAAGATGGTTCCCTTAGTTTCATTTATGAAAATGAAAATGTTATATTTATATGGATAGAAGGTAGTGGTGTTCTAATGACTTGGAAAAATACCATGTCCATAAATAATTTATAATTATCTAAATTATAAGAGAATTACCAACAGAATTTCAATGAGTGATCGATCAAGAAAGGTTAAAAAATATTTTTTTGTTTATCCAGACTGTACATACATGGACATTTATGATTGGTTAAAACTCTTAATTATATGCAATAAGAACATATTAATATGATTAAGAATACAAGCTTAGAAGCACCAATTAATGAAATAGTTTGCTTAATTTTACACTAAAAAATAAGGGAAATCATCTTTTACTTCTATTTGGGACATTCCCATTCTTCGTCCGATGCCTTGGGTTCCA